AGGGGCACTACATTCGTAAGCGTAGTGTCCTGTCTTTTGACATCTGTTGCATCTCTGCAACTTCTTGTAGTCTGTAGAGCGATCCTTCTCGCTCTCTACATAACAGAGTTCCATCGGCTCTGGACCTCCGTTGTCATATCGTCTCGGTTGACGATATGATGTCGAGCTGGCGCGAGCCTGTCTCAGACTGAAGTCTTCCTGCTCCGCAATGGAAATGGCTTGTTCTAGTGAATCTAGTTCAAGCCGGAACAGGTGAGTCTTGACGGGACCATCCGCAAGACCCTGCATGAACACCGAAACCAACGTGTGTTCATCAACCGGGTTGGAACTTATACAACTCGTAAGATGTCGTATATGTTGGGCGTAAGCGTGCACATCACGCTTACCCTGCTTGAGCTTCAAGAGTTCGGTTCGAGCCCTGAACTCAGCTCTAGGCGGTTCAAACGTTTGTCTGAGCCGCGACTTGAAGACTTCCAACGACCCAAACGCATATGGGTCGTGCAACTTGAGCCCCAGTGCCCAAGTCTTGGCACGTCCTGCCAGATTTGACTGGGCAAATGCAACTTGCATATCCCCGTCGTCGATGCGACGCGCCCTTATGGCGTCATCCAATTCGACGAACCATCTCAAGAGGGAGTCCTCTTTGACTCCCCTATACTTTGAGATGTCAATCTTCAAGGTCTCGGGTCGACGCGAGTGCATCGACCCACCAGCAGCAGCCTGCTGCTGTCTCAACAGTTCAAACTGTTGAGCACCCTGTTCTCTCAACAACTCTGCTTGTTGAGAACCTTGTTGGTGAAGCAAGGCTACTTTCTCGCGTTCAGCGTCAAGTTCATTTTGAATGAACTTGGTGATAGTAGCATGTTGGGCATCTCTATTGAGAGCCTCTAGCATGACGCTAACAGCATGGATGCCCATGGTCGAACCCATTCGTTCAACCACATCCCATTCGACATCGCTCAAATGGGAGTAGCCGTCACGCGTAGCGTGAAAGCTTTGGTCATCTTCATCATCCAACATATTCATGTTGGATGTGAACGCGGTCCTTGGACGGACTACGAAGTGCTACCAGGTGTAACGGGGCACCCTGAAGCTTGTACTGGTGACAGTACAAGCTACTTATTCTGATGACAGAATAAGGCGGTGCCTCGTAACTTCACGTACACTCGTACGTGCAGAGGAAGACGGTAAGAAGAAGCGAGTACTTGGTTAAAGTAAAAAGTAGAACTGTATTTATAATAGTTAATGTCTGCAATAAATCACTATTTATCTTCATCTAACTATGTCTAAATACAAATGTGTAAATCAGTTATCTGCTCACCACTCATTGCGTGCGTCTGTCGTGGCGCGTCTTCGTTGGTTGATATAATGGCCTATATCAACCAATTAGGAACTACTCGTAAGTGCTACAGAATATTTGTCCTTATGACAATATTCTGAGAATATAACTCTTATAGTTATATTCTATTACCAATTTCTTATAAATTGTTATGTAACGATTCACCCCGTTACATTAGTAGTAATTGGTGGCGTTTTTGTATGTTTAAGGACTGCACACCCGCTAAAAGCCGACCTAAATTTTCTCTACGGCACCTAGCTTGAAACCTTTTGCACGTTGCAGATATGTAATGACGGAGTGTAGCGTTGATACGCAAGCATAGCATAGATCTACTCTGTCACAGCGAAATTGCGCGTGATCTTAATAACGAACTAATGTATTTTAATATATACAGAAGGTCAGACGTATCAGCATATTGTGTGTGAAAGGAAATTTAATCGGGTGAGTCCTACATCGAAGCACAATGTCAGTATGTGTGTACCACATCGACGTTAGAATACGAGGACATAAAGCGTTTTTTCATTTTCTAATTATTTAAGATATTTTTTATTCTCCAATTTTCTATATTATTTTATAATTTTGTAATGTTATGGGCTTTCATAATTTTCTTGTAAGTTTTTTAGCTTTATAAATGAGGCACGTTTCTTTTAAAAATAGCATTTTTTAATATGATAAAATGAGAAAAACTTTTATTCTGGGGATTCTTAAAGTGAATGGTGCTTCTTGAAAATGTCCGCAAGATGATAATTGCTAAGTTTGTTTCTTTTAAGATGAATGCATTCCTCCTTGTTTGCAGGTCAGATAGCAGAATTTGCACCTTCTTCACTCCTCGGCATAGTGCTGCCACCGTCTTGGTGGCTTGACGTTCTGTCGCAGCCAAAATAATTAAATCGAGTCTGTAAGAGATAGCGATACCTGGAAATGCGAATAGATCGACCATATCGCCTCATGGTAGCTGAAAAAAAACGTGACCACATTAAGCACTTGAGTATTTTTGACATCAGCTCAAACCTAGAGTAGTCATACACTTCAGCCATATCTATAGCGCGCAGAAATAGGACAGGTCGCGTGGACACGGATAGAATAGGTAGCTCTTGATGATGCCAACGCGAACCATACCTGCTGATGTGCATCGCAGGCCCGAAAAGAACATGTGACGTTAGCCTAATTTGAACTCGGGCATCGCGCAAATAACATCATGGGCTGTAAATGATAACTATCCCGAGGCAATGAACCTTGATGTTTATTTACTCATTACTTTGTAACGGTGCAGACTGTGGCCGAGAATGCCTGACTGCTTTCCACCTCTCTCGTAAAGTCTCCTTACATTTCAATTCACACTTGGCGATCGGCTTGTACATTTCGCAATCAATAATACAGCTGTTCCACTTCGCTTGCCTGCCGAGCTTTACGGGCTATTCCAAGCGATAAGTAATGCTTCTCGACCAACTAAAATATTTAACGGGCAGCCAAACTCTGGTAGAAGCTCTCTTTCGCCTATTGTAGATGGGCGGTGGACTTTAGATGGTGTTCCTTCGCTGTACGCACTGTATGCACTCTCAGAGCTCGTCCTGCCTTTCCATACTCCGTGCGAATATCATTTGAAGCACGTAGGCAAAAGCTACATCCTTGACAGAAATTATGCTCTCACATTAATTGTCAAGGGTCTCCTTTGGTGTCCAGCGCGCCGGTGACCTTATCACCGGTTGCGTTTAATTTTCTAAAGGCGTTCCAGCGGCATAGAAGCGATGTTTACGTTTGTGTCGACAATGTAGCTTACGCTATGGAAAGGATGGATCGAACAAGGAACGTGCATTTCCTACTGTCTGACCTGCGAATACAGAGGAGCGCATACACCAAGAAAAGAAACACTAGGCGTTTGTCTGAATGAGGGCTTTTTGCAAAAACCACTGGGCATTTTGCAAAAACCACTGGGCATTTTGCAAAAACCACTGGGCATTGTAAATCCCCTCTTACTTTCCCCGGCATTTAAAAATTTCCCCTGCCGTAAGGATTTCTTGTTTGCCAAGAGATCACGAATCTAATATCACTCATCAGTTTGCACCCAGTTGTGTGCGTTCTGGCTATCGCGATACGTTCCCACTTCCTACAGCAACTGCATCGGGCAACAACATGAGATGTACTGTGTCGTCAAAACATTGAAGGCGGATGATAAGGTCTTAAATGCAAAGCAACAAACGCCAACCGACTTAGTGCAAGTAGAACATGTTATGATGTTGCACAGCACCTCGAACATCAGGAACTGTGTGCTGCAGTGTCCGTATCTGCTTTAGCGCGGTGTCGTATTTTATCGTAGCAAGCGTCGCAATCTGCTACTTTACAGCATTCAACGCGAAGTCGTCTCGCTCGGGGATATACATAGCAATCCGTGTTTCGCCAATCGCGAGGTTGTAGTGCCGCATTCCGTGCAGAATGCATTGACGTGGTACTTATCTTATAACACTGGAGCCACTTTGCCGAATGTGTCCCCAATGACGATAAGAAGTATGTGGTAGCGCATAACGTCAGGAATTGTTCGTTCAGGAACCGGCACTGATGGGATTTACGTCCACGTCCGGCGGATTCTTACCACGCGCGTCTAGACCGGCTGCAGCAGCGATCGCTATCTTCGAATTCAACGGCCCCAACACCTGCTACGCCTTAAGAAGGCGGTTTGTCGTTGGGTGGTAGTGCGCATTTACTGCAGCCCGGCTGCAACACTTGGACAGTGCTTTGTTCGTCTTCGAGGTCATACAAACTAATCGTGAAAGCGGCGACGACGGATATTGAGCTAAGCTTGAATAACATGTCAGCAAGCGTGAATACGACCAAAGTCTTGCGGTATTCGTGCCATACATTGTCACCTTTGCGCCCGAAGTGCTTCTTCATTCACAAGGTCATGGTACTGTCGTTGACCAGTAGTTAGTTGAACGGGTTCCAATTGGAATGACTGACATGCTCGAAAGACCGGGTTACAACGTGTATGTTTAGCTGCCCATTTCCAGACAATTGCGTGGACCGCAATATCTACGCATTAGTCGTGTTGATTTCCGTCCTGACTCTGGACCTACCCAGAGTGGATCACTTGTTCTATCTACTGTGGCGTATCACCACGACACGCGCGTCTTCGCGGTGACGGTTAATGCATGACAACTGAATCTCTACTTCACTACGAAGGATCGTGACGCCCGACATCAGAAGTACAATGCTGTCGCGGGATGAAGTAGACGATGGAGTACATTTTCTGATAATGCCCATGTGCACAGAGGCGTGCGGATAGAAAGTTATTTGCCACGGGCGGGCGCTAGGCGTTGAGAAAACTGCGAGGGCTATTTTTACATCGTGCAAACAGACACACACTGGAGCTGTGTAATGTAGTCAGAGACCACATCCTGCGAGATCGTTCTGACGGGAACAACTACGTGTTTGAGAATGAGCACGATTGCCGTGTACTGAGCAGCCTTTGTTTGTACCTCTAACTTACACCTTGTCCTATTCAGGAATGCCGGCGTATTCAGCTTTAGCCTCGAGGTGACAAGGAAGACGATGATATTGATTCGAAGATCACGTTTCTTCTTACGAAACATCTTAGCTCTGTTGTTGTCTAGAATTGGAATAATACAGACCTAAGTAGCAATCACTTCGTGCGTACAAAGGCAACCTACCAAAGCTTACACTTTTTCGTTGGGTTCATGGGTGAGCCAGCAGGGCACGAAAACACGCGTGCGAAATCGTGCGAGTTGCTTGCAGCTCCATTTATGCGCCACTGGTTAGGCGAGTGCGGATCTGTGGCCAACATCTCAATCATGCTGGCGTCACTCACCTTAGAGCAAAACTCCTGGGCGAATGAGATGAAGAAAAGCTTGTCAGCCACATCGGTGGGTAGATCAGGCCCTGGCTGGCTCTGCGAAACGGTTGTTGATTCATCTTCGTTGATCTTATTCAGCTCCTTGGCCTGCTTGGCGACGTAGGTCCGATATGCGTGGAAGGACAACTTTAGACCACCGTTGTCCGCGATGTTCTCGCTGAGAGTGAAATTGCCATTGACGTGACCCAGCACTTTGTCCTGATCGTCGCCACTTGTCACCGCAAACTCATCGTATTGCCTCACAAAACAATCAGTCCGCTGTAAGAACTTCGTTTCCGTGTCATTGCTCCACCAGTCCCGCAAGTTGCCGCCACCATCAAATTGTCTTCCAGAGGCATCGAAGCCATGCGTGAGTTCGTGCCCAATGATACTACAAATCGCGCCGAAATTACGTGCAGGGTGTTGTTCGCGAGCGAAAAACGGCCGCTGGAGAATCCCGGCAGGGACGGCAATCTGGTTTGCTGTTGGCTGGTAGTAAGCGTTTTCATCAGCGCCTGTCATAGCCCATTCGTTGCGGACTACACGGCGACCGATCCGTGCCACATCTCGATCAAAGTAGTGCTTCCAGATCATCCGCATGTTTTTGACGAGTGGCGCGTCACCGCGCAGTTTGTGCGGGAAATGTTCGGTGCGGTTCGGTGCGGTTCGAATACCCGATGAGGTTGGTCATGTTGCCCAACTTGTCAATAGCACCCTGCCGAGTGGGTTCGCCCACCACCCACCCCAATGCTCAAGATCCTTCTCAAACGATGCTTGGACGTGCATCACGAGCTGGTCGGCAAGTCGCTCACTAGCCTTGTCAAAACGATGAAGTGCAAAGTACTTGCCAGCCAAATCAGGAAAATAGTCTACAACACGCTGAACACACACCTTCCATCGCGGAGCACGTTTCTTTTGGCCCCCGAGCGTTTGCGCGAAGAAAGAGAAAGACGCCTGGACGAAAGGCTCACTCAAGGCACTTGCATGGGCGTTGATGTATTGGTACGTAAGCACGGCTTTCAGAGTGTCGAGCGTCACAGAATCTCCAGTCACGAGATCCCCAACACGCTCAAAGAACGAAGGCGTTTGGACAATGACACTAGCGTTCCGAGCAACTAGGTTCTCCAGCATCCCCTTCCCATCCATGAACTGTGCGACGAGTAACGGGTACTTCTCAGCGGCCTGAGCTACAGTCATACGATTGTATGTTGCCACCGGATCCTGCAGCTCTTCCTTCGGTACGAACAACGGTGCAAGCGTTTGCTCAAAAGAAATTACTGAGGAAGCTTGCGATGCTGCTTTGTGTGATTCCAAGCCAACCAGCGAAAACAACTCCACGACGTACGCATGAAATGCGTCACTGATCGATTTAAACATTTTGTGGTCCAGGTAGTACTGCGGATCCGGCAGCGAAAGACCCGTCTGGGACGCGTACAGCGCGTACGCGGTCGCTTCTCTAGCATCTGCCGACACTCCGAGCCCCGTAAAAAAATTAGGCCCTACTATTGACAACTTGCCAGCCAGCTGAAACAATTCGCTTTTGCTCGTCACAGCTTCAATTTGCTCAAGTGCTGGCGACAAGACCGACACCGACGCTGCGTCTGCTGTCGCGCTGCTTGTGTTGCTAAAATTCATGCAAGAGTCGTACAGATCGCCGAGTAGTGGCCATCCTTGCTGCATCACTTTTTTTCAGGACCTTTTGGTTCTCATCGTGCACGGTGGTAAACGACAGATACACGCTCGACTGGTCGTCAGGGATCTCAGCTTGTTTAAGCCACGACCCGCAACTAAACGCGTACAGATCGTCGCACGGATCCACTTGAGTGTCCAGATGACTCACAACGTCTTGTGGCAGCAGCTCAATCCAATCAGCCGCGTCAGTGGTATCCTCTTGAAGCTCTTTTGGAGGGTGCAACGGACCACCACGAATGACTGGGATGAAGGCGACAAGGAGCAGCATGCCCAGACTCCCAATTGTCCAGGACGCGTGCGACTTTTTTGTGTGCTTGAAAACTGGCGGCGAGGAATCATCTGCATCCTCTTGAAAGCCTTGCAGTTTCTTGCAATTGACAAGTGACTGCTTGTCGTCTTGCGCTTCTTGATGGTGCGTAGATACGGCACCATCAACGTCCACGGGAACGCCTGTCTCCTGGAGAAGAGTTTTGCCATTGTCGTACTTGATGGCCGCGAACAAGGGCGTGTCAGGCGCATTTCGAGTCATGCCGGGATGCGCGATTCCAACCGAAAAGTCAGAGTCTACTTGCCGTTGACTGATGAGGTTGACTCTGGAGCGCAAATTGCGAAATGACCGATCCTGAAGGCGAGATGAGTAGCAAACAGGACTGTAGCTCCCTTCGTGTGTCATTGAGGTTTGTTTGCTTACGACTGCACGCTAAACGGGCATTGTCTGATCCGAGCTATACTGTGTATCCTAAGGGCTTTTTCTACCATTCTTTGCTCCTGCGCTTCGCACGTGATTTTGGGTGCAGCACGGACCAATCCCCGTCGAGACCTGTAACATGCGTCGTCTTTGTGCGCGCATCGTGATTTCCTCGAAGCACATAAGTCGGGCTTGTTGTTCGCTGAAAGCAGCTTTCCAGCAAGAAGTAGGATTGTGAGCCTTGTTGAAATTCATCGCAGGGCGTTGTCGCACCAAATGAGAGCTTGCGCATTGTCGACTTCAATGTAACTTTTTGTCCACTTCCACGTGACTTGGCAAATTGGTACTCATTGCAGGGCACTATCGTTCCGAATGTTAGCTTGCGCATTGTCGACTTCGACGTGATATCCGTCCATTTTACGTGATTTTGTAAAAGATGCGATGGTGCTTTTTTACTTAAATCGCTGAAGCGATCATGTGCGATTCAAATCTGATCGTACCAACGACTTGCGCATGGTCGATGAACACTTGGGTTTCGTATGTGATAGCAACAGTCACTCTCTCGATTAATTTAGAAGCCTGTCTGTCACTTACGCGAAAAATGAACTGCGACAGCGAACTGATCACGGTAGAGTCTGTTGTGGCTTCGTCACGGATTACCCAAACCATGACGTATTACTATCTCAGTACAAGGCCATTGTAGAGACGGTCGGTCCGTGACATTATGCTACCTTTCCGGTTTTGGTAGGCATTCTAGTTTAAATTATGGGTTTGAATTTAATGCTAAAAATTTGAAAAGGATCGTCAAAATACGTTTATCACATTTGTATTACTATTAATATTCTTTCGTTAAAGTTAATTTGGGCTCCGTGCCTCGCGGAATGGAGTGGGATTGGCCTATCCCGCGTGTCATCCCGCCCAGGATGGGATATCACGCAGGACACTGGGACGAGGTCTTTGAACATGTACCCTGCTATAAGAAATACCGCAGACCTGCGCACACTTGAGCGCTTCCATATACGCTGAGGAAACCAAAGATTAATAAATACAGCCAAACAGGCATTATAAACCGTTAGTGGTTGATACTTACTTGCTTCAACGGGTATGGAGGCAATGTGACATGTTAAACAAGAATTCAATTGGTACCACAAAGGGTCTACTCTTGCAACATATTCTTGGCAAAAAGTACAAGCTGTACAAAATGCTCGAAAGCGATCCCCAAGCTTGGTGGAATCGGAAAATAATTTGACAAGCTTATGGCAATTACAGATAGGTCAGCTGAGGCGCAACAGGTTTGGTCCGGAAACCAATAGGTCTATCTGGTCGTCTTTTGAGGCAACTGAACTGTCTTTACAAGCATCCCCAAGTGCCCTGATGCATGCCTCAGAAGAAACTGGATATCTTCTTTATCTAAGTAACGAACAGGACAATGGTTGCGGGTTTAAAAAGACTATTTATAGAATCTCGACGTTATGTATATCAAATTATGAATGTGGGTTGTGCGGGACGTACGAAATGCTGGATATGGGAAGCTGCGGGACGGGTTCCCAGTTTAGATTGGTCATCACATTAGAGTGTGTTTATTAAAATTAATCGAAACACTTGTTGAACCTCGTCTTGGAGCTCTTACTGAACCTTTGTAAAAATTTATATATTTTAAGGCATTTTGGAAACTCAGCTGATAGTTAAGCGATGCAGACGAATCATTTTGACACACCCGACCATTGCAACCATTATAAGCAGTAGTATACTCTTTCTGCTACTTAAACGGCTGCATACCCGCAAGCCACGCGTGTTACGAACTCTCTGCAAGCTTTTTTGGGAACAAGACGTCCTCATGTGCACAGAAAATGTAACGGGGCACCCTTTGTTTGGGGTGCCCCGAAACTTGACTAACACTAGTACGTGCAGAGGAAGCTAAACTACTCAAACAGCTAGTTTAAGTAAAGTGTAACGGGGCACCCTTTGTTTGGGGTGCCACGAAACTTCACATACATTAGTGCGTGCAGAGGAAGCTGACTACTCAAACAGCTAGTTTAAGTAAAGGCTAAAACGAGAACTGTATCTAATATAGTGAAGCTATCAATATAACTTTAATCTTTATCTAACTATATTAATCTACGTCGTCGTATGACGACAACCTGCTCACCACTCATTACGCGCGTCTAGCAGCGATTAGTGGCAATCTATGGTTGATGTGTCTTTTATCAACCAATCTTGGAGCAGCGCATGAATGTTATCCTAAAAGAAGATAATATTACTTCGATATTATCTGTCTCGGATAAAATTGTTAGGAATTGTCACGCTTGACGATCTCCCTTGTGACACCGTTTGGTGTCAATATCATGTACCAGGCTACCCCGTTACATCGCCCCCATTTACCATCAATCACCCGTTGATATAATAGCATTGATTGGGACAGAGGGACCACCGTTGGATCACTCTGGGAAGGGGAGCACTTGTTGGTCAAGTTTCATTCATTTACCAATCCAACGCATGGTGTCAAAGTCCATGCGATGTGTTGCCGAAGCAGCAAGAAAAGCGGATGCACGCATACGTGCAGTCGAAGAGAGTACTTCTCTTGCTTCATCAGCAGGTGATACTTCTTCTGCTGTTGCAATTCAGCAACAGGCGGCCTGTTGTGAACAGCCCACGTGGTGAGTCACCACGTGCGACAGAAACATCCGCTGCATCTGCAGCAGGTACTTCAAATTGCAATGTAGATGATACTGAAATAGAGCTCATCGATTCCGGGGAGTCGGATGCATCATCCGACTCGAACGCGACAGTCACGCCTCCGGATCATCCGAGGCGGACACTCAAAGAGGCAGGTTGGTTGGATCTGGGGAACGTGGCGGCATCATGTCCAAGATCTTTGGACCAAGCAATTCTTCTGACGAATCCTCGCCTCACGCAAGTCCATCCGACGATAGGACGCCTGGTAATGGTGGTGATGCCCCTATGCATCACCGCGAGCGGAGTAACTAGAGAGACCGAGCTGTCCCTGGTGTCAGTGCTCGTGCTGACACCACTCAAGAGGCCAGGAACTGAAGTGTCCTGTGCCACGCTCCTCAAATGGAATTCTTCTTGGATGCCGTAATCCAATGCGTCAAATAGAGTGGCCGGCATGACTACCGAACGGGATCGAATCCCTTTGTTCGACTGTAAGAGGATCTGACCTCCTTATTTCAGCACGGAAACTATCCGTGCTGAGGGATAATTCTTCACCAATGTGTCTTTCAAATATCGTTGGTATAATGGTAACCTTGGTCGAGACGGTAAGGCCTTGGTGCAAGGATGGAATGACTTCATCCACAACATCGAGTGCATTGGCCGTGAGGCTTGGCTTGCCAAACTTATGCAGCTCGCATCAGGTTTGAGAAACGCAACCCCGTCGGGGCGCGATACAAGTTGCACCGGCTTTCAAGAGAGGCAGGATTGCCCTGTCTCTCGTGGGGTGATTCGTGTCCAAGTTGCCTGGACAACTCGGACCGTGCCCCTAGGAAGGCTTACCTCCCTAATGTTCCCTGCTGGAGGGCTTACATCTCATCTGAAATGGCCGAAGCGATTGACACTTTGCAATCTCTGTACTCGCGTTCGGTTAGGTCATTTTCCGACGGCCCTTCTTCGAACGCAGTGGGTGGGTCTCGTCATTTTTCTCGACGAGACCAAGGACATCAACAATCATCTGGGCACGAAGCTCCCAGCTGTCCCACGCCGGTCGATAGCCACGCCAGCGTACGAGGTAACTCGTCCGGACGCCATTCACATCGCGGTGGTTCAAAATACGCTCCACCAGAAAGCGTTGACCACCACCAGAATCCACCAAAGGATGTGGTGGTGGCGGGAACACTTGGTCCGGCTCGAGGGTTGGATTAGCTTGATGTTCAAGAGCTGAACCGTGTAAAAGAACAGTTACACGGTGACCTGGCTCATGGACGGCTCGACGTTACAAGCTTCATGACCCTTGTAAGGGATACTTACAATTCCTTAGCGCACGATCGTTCGAACTATTGTGTCGCGTTTGCGCTTGCGCAACTTGAGAACGAATGTTCGGTTCGTTCTCTTCGTGACGAGCTGGCTGTATCTCGTCGAGACATCGCTCAACTGCGTGAGAAGGTCGCTTCGATAGTCGACCAGACTGGCTCGTTGAAACGGGACACTCGAAGGTGGTCTCGGCTCTCGACCGCGGAGGTGTTCTTCGCATCTCGAGACGGGCTCGTACTGATAGTACGGGCGGAGACGTCCAACGTAAAACGTGGGATGCGTACGCATCTTACGGGGCAGTTCGATGTGTATGCGTTGCCCATTCGGCCCAACACACGAAATGGACCAATACATTGGGCAGTTATTTACTGCCGCCCACGTTTGTCACTACGTGTTTTGGTAGATTTACTGTAGACAGTAAAACTAGGTCTCCTTCATCGAATGAAAGAACATTTGCTTTTCCATGTTCGTCTGCGTTTTTTTCTGTCGGTCTAGTGCATCTGCAATAGAGTCTTGAACGAAGCGGACAACCGCTTTGCGAAACAGCAGAAATTCCTCTGCTGATTCATCCTTGTCAACAGCATTGCACTTCGTTTGCAATGCTGAAACAACGTTGTCTTCACCAGTGAGGGCGTCATCGTCCTCACTGTGGCAGTCTTTGGCGATGCTGAATATACCAGCATTGTCGTCATCGATCTCGATTGCATTGACATCGGCATCCATCACGTCGGCACCATTGTCGACGTGTGATGAGCGAGAACCAGATCAGTTTCGTTCGAGCGAGTCCACCTCCCCCCTTAAACTAGAGTCACACCCTAAGAATGCAGGTAACGTGGATGGAGAAGGCCATTCACGAAGAACGGTGGATGCGCGTGCACCGAGTTGTTGATGGCGAATTCCGCCATCTGCAAAAACTCACTCCAGCTCGTAAACGAGTGGACGTACCCTCGAAGTATCTCTTTGAGGATGTGTTGTACATAGTACGCCTTGGCATGACGTTTCAGAAAAGTGTTCTGTAGCTCAGCTGGTTCGGTATGGCAGTACCATCCCAAAGGTCACTGGTTCGTTCCCGGTGGGGCATACAAACAAAAAATAAGCCTTCGGGATCTGGTGTTTGGGGTTCACCAGCACTGTCCTGCCAGACAGTGACGTCCTCCACTTTCGGTACGTTTGGGTGTTTAGAAACGCACGACCAGAATTAGAAACGTACGACTAGACGATTAGTAATACGCGATGTGGTGATTACTAATGTGCGACTAGACGATTAGTAATGTGCGATATAGCGATCAGAAACTTATGGTCGATGAATCAAGTAGGCTTAGAGTAGCAACAGAGTTTGCGAACTAAGTACCTAAATATATTCACTTTGCATTTTACCAGCTTTGTCCAACGACTTTAGGATGCACTTAACGTGTTCCGTCTGACCATCTGTTCTGGATGGTCAGAAGTCGACATCTTCAATCGTGTTCCAAAATGAATGGAACACGGATTTCCAGAACCTCGCTGTGAATCGGGGTCCCTATCGGACACGAGTTCACGGGGTAACCCGTGAAGTCGGAAGATAGTATCGATGAAGACACTAGCACAGCCCTGGGCTGTGATTAAATCCGTTGCAGCAATAAGATGTACCATCTTGCTGAACCGATCAACAAAGACCAGAACACCAGTATTCTTGTGAGCGTCTTTAGAAAATCCAAAGATGAAGACCATCGATACGGACTGCCAACACTCTGCCGGAATTGGTAGAGGCTGCAAGGTGTGCACGGGATGAAGGACTATGCTTCACCCGTTGACAAACTTCGCAAGCGCGAACGTATTTCCGCACAAAACTCATACTGGCGGGGTCAGTAGAAGTCACGACTCACCATGAGGTAATTCTTTTCTCTACATAGATGCCCACTTGTTCGGACATCGTGACGCTCATACATGATGCACAATCGAAAATGGTCATGAGCGGGAATGGCGACACGAGATGTGTTGGCGTTGAGTGCTGTTCAGTACAGCATTCCACTACGAACCGAATACCGTTCGGTTGAAGAGCGGTATTGAGACGACAAGCTTTTCAAAGCTTGATTACACGGATTAGACACGTAATCCATCAATCGCAGAAAGGACTCATCTTCTGCGTACACCTTCCGCACGTCGTCGAGCAGATTCGACGACGGAACGCTTAATGTTAGTGTTTCTACCGTGGGATCACCCCTACTGTAGGGTTGAGCAGTCGGCTCAAAATCGGGCCGACGCGAAAGAGCATCAGCGACGACATTAATTTGTCCTGGTTTATACTCGACGTAGAAGTTGCACTTCTCGAAGAAAGACAGCCACCTCGCCATTCGTTGCGAGAGGTGTGGACTGTTTACGGCCGTGCGTAATGACGCATGGTCGATATAAACGATGAAGGGGCTATCTCCAAAGAAATGTACCCCAAACTTAGCCAGTGCATGTTTCATGGCAAGGAGTTCCTTGTCAAGCAATGGATAATTTCGCTCAGCTTCTTGCAGCTGACGCGATTGATAACCGACGGCGCGCTCAGCGCCGTCTGAGTCGTATTGAATTAACGCGCAGCCGATCGCGAAATCGATGGCGTCACAGACCACATGGAATGGTCTGTGTAACGGGGCACCCTGAAGCTTGTACTGGTGACAGTACAAGCTACTTATTCTGATGACAGAATAAGGCGGTGCCTCGGAACTTCACGTACACTCGTACGTGCAGAAGAAGACGGTAAGAAGAAGCGAGTGCTTGGTTAAAGTAAAAAGTAGAACTGTATTTATAATAGTTAATGTCTGCAATAAATCACTATTTATCTTCATCTAACTATGTCTAAATACAAATGTGTAAATCAGTTATCTGCTCACCACTCATTGCGTGCGTCTGTCGTGGCGCGTCTTCGTTGGTTGATATAATGGCCCATATCAACCAATTAGGAACTACTCGTAAGTGCTACAGAATATTTGTCCTTATGACAATATTCTGAGAATATACCTCTTATAGTTATATTCTATTAACAATTTCTTATAAATTGTTATGTAACGATTCACCCCGTTTCATCACCCCCCCTTAACCATCAGTCACTTTAGTGACTGATTGACTAAATGGATACTCGTCCCAAATCATTTGGGACAGGGTTTGCACTTGTTGGTCCGCGTCCACTTTCCAACATCTCATCGCATGGTTAACAAGCCCATGCGATGCGCGAGCAAGGCCGCCGAGAGCGCGTCTGCGCGTCTCTGTGCGGACGCCGAAGCAGAAACAACAGCAACTGATGTCCCATCGGTTGCTGAAGCGACTCAGCCTGTGTCACCTGGTGATGCAGGCGCTGGTCATGAAGACACTCGTGTCTTCACAGAGTACGAGCTCGGTGTCTCGTACTCTCCTGATACGGATGACGGATCCGTATCGACGGCGATTGAATCTAAGCCGCCTGCCAAGCGTGGCATGGACGATGCTTTGCGTCGCAGAATCTTTGGTTCATCTGATTCATCAGATGAACCATCGCCGAAGCGAAGGCGCTCGAGGTCGCGAGACTCGGGCGCTAATAGTGGTGTCGGTTCTCCAATGGACACCACTTCACAGCGAGGTGCCAGTACTTCTGTCGGCACGTCGCAGGAAGAGCGGGACCGCAATGTGTTGCGTCTCGCTCCAGAAAAGAAGGCATGGATGCCTCCGAAATCCGTCATGGATCACTTGTCGGCGACGACGAGTGATCGTTATCGAACACGATTGTTCGATTCGTCAAGGATCCATCACCTTGACCCCAGCGCGAAAAACTATCGCGCTGAACACGAATTCTTCATCGATGCTTTCTTCAGACATCGATGGTACAGTGGGAACCACAAGCGTGATGGTCCCTCACTACTTCAAGCGTAGAACGCCTACATCCATAACCTCGAGGATGCAGGTCGTGACGCTTGGAACGACAAACTTATCAAAGCTCGTGATAAGTTTGAAAAGCGAACCCCGACAGGTGCACGCTACAAGCTGCATCGTCTGTCAAGGGAGAAAGGATTACCCTGCCTCTCTTGGGGAGACTCGTGCCCATGTTGTGTGAACAACTCTGCGCGAGCACCTAAGGCGGCTTACCTCCTTACCGGCCCGTGGTGGCGCGTACGTATCTCTATTGAGATGTACGAAGGGATTGACAACCTGAAATCCCTTTACGACCGTGCCGGGAAGACTTTCTCCGGCGGTCCTTCTGCGGCACAGGATGTGCCGCGTCGTACTGCTCAACCAGACCCAGTACGTCGATCATCAGTTGGGAGCGGGGCTCCCAAGAATCCCAGAACGGGGGATAGCCGCGCCACCGGACGAGATAACTCGTCCGACGCCCGTTCACGTCGCGGTGGTTCAACAGCTGCTCAACTAGATAGCGCTGGCCACCGCGAGAGTCCTCTAATGGAGGTGGAGGAGGAGGAAAGACGCTCTCCACACGACCATGTGGATCGGTGTGTTCCCGAGAGCTTCTTTGATCGCGTAACGCAAGGGTTACGCGACGATCTCGAACATGAGCGGAATAGGCGTCTCCAAATGGCGGACACTGCCTCGAAGCATCGAGCTGAGTTTGCCTTTGCTCAGCTCGAGAACGAGAGATCTCTGACATCTCTTCGTGACGAGCTAAGGGTAGCTCGTGGGATTGTTGATCGGTCTCGGGCTGAGATAACTGCTCTTCAGACCCTTGTTGATGCCCACCATCGGGAGCACAAGGCTCTCTGCGAGATGCTTGAGCGCAAGGGCGTTCTTCATCGGAAGAAGCAGCGTACTGATGGTACGGCTTAAGCCGACCAACGTAAAACGTGGGATGCGTTCGCATCTTACGTGGTAACTCGATCGTGTATGCATTGCCTAGGCGGTGCAATACACGAAATGGGCCGATGTACTTGGGTAGTAGTTTACTGCTACCCAAGTTAGTCACTACATGCTTTGGTAGATTAACCGTAGACAGTAGGACTAAGTCACCTTCATTAAATAAAAGAGTGTTTGCCCTTCCATTCTTGTCAGCGTTTTGCTTTTGCTTATCCACCGCTTCGGCGATGGAGTCTTGCACAAAACGGACTACCGTTTCACGAGCCAGTATGAACTCATCTGATGGCTCGTTAGCTTCAGTGTGCTGTGAGCGCACTGCAGCAACAACAACCTTTTCTTCAGTGAGGGCTTCCGCACTCTCACTGGGATCATTGTCTTCAGTGAGGGCTTCCGCACTCTCACTGGCATCATCTTCTTCGATATCGATGTTATCGATATCGGCATCAAACGCAATGACTTCTTCGTCAGAGCGTGATGAGCGTGAACCAAATCGGTTTTTGCTCGCGCGAGTCCCTCCCCCCTTAAACCAGAGTTACGCTCTAGTAAGGTGGGTACACGCGGATGGCGCAAGCCATTCACGTAAAACGGTGTATGTGTCGTGGACGCATGCACCGAGTTGTTGATGGCAAACTCTACCATTGGCAAAAACTCACTCCAACTCTGAAAGGAGTGTACGTATCCTCGAAGTATCTCTTCAAGGACACGATTGGCACGTTCCGTCTGACCATCTGACTCTGGATGATCAGATGTTGACATTTTCAAGCGCGTTCCGAGTGATTTGAACACGGAACGCCAGAAATCAGCAGTGAATCGTGGATCTCTGTCTGACACGAGTTCACGGGGCAACCCATGAAGTCGGAAGATGGTGTCAATAAAGACACAAGCACAGCCACTTGCCGTGATTGTCTCTGGTACAGCCACAAGGTGTACCATTTTGCTGAATCTGTCAACAAATACGAGAATACCCGTATTCCCGCGTGCGTCTTTGGGTAACCCGAAGACGAAATCCATTGAGATGGATTCCCAGCACTCAGCCGGAACCGGTAGAGGCTGTAAAGGTGCACGCAGTGAAGGACTTGACTTCACTCGTTGACAGACTTCGCATGCGCGAACATACTTTCGCACAAACTGATACTGGCGGGGCCAGTAAAAGTCTCGACTTACCGTGAGATATGTTTTCTCTCGGCCACGATGTCCTCCTATAGGAGCATCGTGATACTTCGAACATGATCCGCAAACGCAGATCAGTATCATTTGGAATGACAACACGTGGTGTGTCACCAGAAACGGCTGTATAATACAGTAAACCGTTACGAGTAGTGTATCGATCTGATGCAGATCGATACGCAGGCGACAATCGTTTCAACGATTCTCGGGATGGTTGGGAGAGATGTGTCAACAACTTCACAATCTCACCATCTTGGGCGCATGCCCGCCTCACATCATCATACAACGTTGTAGATGGGACTGAGGACGTCATAACCGCAACAGTGACTGTCTCACTGTTGGGTTTCGCGACTGTTTCAAAGTCGGGACGACGTGAGAGTGCATCAGCGACGACATTAAGTCGTCCTGGTTTGTACTCGACCGTAAAGTTGTATTCCGCAAAGAATGACAACCACCGCGCCATTCGTTGTGAAAGGTGCGGGCTGTTCACTGCCGTGCGTAATGACGCATGGCCAGTGTAAACAACGAAGGTTCTATCTCCTAATAGATAGACTATGAACTTCGCGAGTGCATACTTCATGGCAAGGAGTTCCTTGTCATGCACTGGATAGTTCCGCTCAGCTGGTTGCAGCTGACGCGACTGATAGCAGACGACGCGTTCAACGCCTTCAAGATCGTACTGCATTAATGCACAGCCGATTGCGAAATCGCTGGCATCACAGACCACATGAAATGGCCTGTCTTGATCGGCAATTGCTAGGACTGGGTTTGTATCAAGCTCTGCTTGATACCATCAAAGGAGCGTTGACATTCAGCGTTCCATAACCACCTCTCGTTCTTTTTCAACAAACGAGAGAGGTGCACAGTCATCTCGGCGTAATTGCGTGAATACTTATGCAAATACGCCGCTAGCCCAAGGAATTTTCGAAGACCTTTGACATCGACCGGCACAGGCCAGTCGGTGATCGCCTTGATCTTTTCGGGATCAGGACGTACACCGTTCCTACCAACGATGCACCCAAGAAGTGGTATTTCGCTTGCTGCAAATATACACTTCTTGAGGTTAGCATACAATTGATGCTTTCGCATGATTTTAAGAACCTGTCGGACGTGGTACCTGTGAACCTCAACGTCCGACTTTCCATCCATAGCTCGACTATGGATGAATACGTCATCGAAATAACTCGGCGCGAATTCTCGTACTGGTCTCAACAGATGTGATACACATCTGTTGAACGTGGCAGGGGCATTACTAAGCCCTTGTGGCATTACTAGCCATTCCCAGAGCATGCCGCTAGGCGTGCTAACTGCGGTATAGGGTATATCCCGTTCTCGCATAAGGATTTGATAGAAGCCATCCATCAAATCCATGGACGAAAAGATGGTACTCTTTGACATACCATCAATGATTACGTCCTTCCTCGGTATCGGCGTCTGAGCCGGTACCGTTGCAGCGTTCAATTTGTTGAACGCGTGCACTATCCGCCACCCTCCTGTTGCTTTTCGCACACAGAAGGTCGGAGAGCTATGTGGGGAAGTTGATTCCCTCACATGGCCCGCTGCTAAACGATCGGCAAAGAACTTGTCGATCGCAAGTACTTGTTCACGACGCAGTGGCCACTGCTTCATGACACAGTACTTCGAGCCTGGTTTAAGCTCGACTTCGTGTCGAATACCTTTATCCTTCGGTAATTCGCACGGAACAGTTTCAGGGAATACATCCTTGAATTCAACCAAATCTTCATAGAGAGGATATTTCTTGAGCGATTCCCATGATTGGGAGTCATATCGCTCAACTCGTGTCTTTTCATCTAGGACACTCTCGTCCATAGATGAACTACTGAGAACTCTCTCGTTCTCAGTGAACACTGTTGCTGACCTTATGTCGGTTACACACTCGTCGTCAGCGACGAGTATGCAGATCTGCTTGACTTTGCCACTACGCAGATCACGCAAGAACCTTTTATGTTCGAGCGTTGGCAACTGAGTGATCTCCGAAGTTAACTTCGGAGGCGCAATCAGATCAAGTGTATGAGCGCCTACACTTGATCCGTTATTGACTATGACATTCAATGTCTCTGTCATTTCCTGGGGACTTATTCCCTCAGGCTTCGAAGGACTTATTCCTTCGGCTTCCTGGGGACTTATTCCCTCGGGTTTCGGGAAACTTATTTCCGCCGTATCTGTAATATCGGTACTTATTCCCTTAACTTCCTCTAGCTGGGGTTGCGCAACCACAGCGAGATCCTCTACGAAAGACTCTCCAGTCGATCTAGGATTATCGTTTCGCTTAACCTGAGCGATCGATTGTTTCTCTTCTAGATGTTCCCCGCTAGGGATACATCTTTGTCCCAGTCCACCCGACTTATTCGAGTGGTGGACCTTCGGCGCAGCCTGTGTTTCCTCACAGCCGCCGGAGCTTTGCTCCGAAGTGTAACCGTTTGGTACACTAAGGTTTTGTGCAGTCTTACTAACGACCTTACCACAAGTGAGGCCATCGCACTCACTCGTAGTACATCCACACGCTTGTGGACGCTCCAAAACGTTCATCAGATGGCCATCTGATGAACAAGCGGCAGGCATCGTTACTGTCCGATGTTGCCAGTTTACCCGTGGTTCGTACCTTCTGAGCCACGGTATTCCAAGGATGACATCAAATTTGTCATCCAAATCCAATACGATAAAGTCATCGTCATATTGGGTATCTTCTAGCGTATAGTGGATCTTCACTGTACGCTTCATGACGGTTACGGATGCGCCTGTCGCAAGACGTACCGTCATCCTCGTAGGAGGTGTGTCACATTCACTAAACTTAAAGTGACCATCTTCTAGCGATTGGCGTTGCACAAAATTGTTGGACGCCCCACAATCGACTAGAGCTCGAAGGGACAACTTATTCGTCACTTCGAGTTTCAAGGTAATGAGTGAGTCCTCATTACCTAGAGCAGCAACGCACAACGTTTGTGTGTTGGGAGCAACCTTCATCAAGAGGCCTACAAATTCTCTTGACGTTGCTGGACCAGTAGGGTGCTCCGCACCTACTGATCCTGTCCGTTTTTTGACGGTCCATCCTGTTGTTGCGTCTTTGCACCAACAGCGGACCCTCGTCCCTGCCCCTTTCTCATGGGTGGACGGTCACTACGCCCAGTGTCGCGAGACACTGGACGAGGGGCACTACACTCGTAAGCGTAGTGTCCTGTCTTTTGACATCTGTTGCATCTCTGCAACTTCTTGTAGCCTGTAGAGCGAGCCTTCTCGCTCTCTACATAACAGAGTTCCATCGGCTCTGGACCTCCGCTGTCATATCGTCTCGGTTGACGATATGATGTCGAGCTGGCTCGAGCCTGTCTCAGACTGAAGTCTTCCTGCTCAGCAATGGAAATGGCTTGTTCTAGTGAATCTAGTTCAAGCCGGAACAGGTGAGTCTTGACGGGACCATCCGCAAGACCCTGCATGAACACCGAAACCAACGTGTGTTCATCCACCGGATTGGAACTTATACAACTCGTAAGATGTCGTATATGTTGGGCGTAAGCGTGCACATCACGCTTACCCTGTTTGAGCTTCAAGAGTTCGGTTCGAGCCCTGAACTCAGCTCTAGGCGGTTCAAACGTTTTTCTGAGCCGCGACTTGAAGACTTCCAACGACCCAAGCGCATATGGGTCGTGCAACTTGAGCCCCAGTGCCCAAGTCTTGGCACGTCCTGCCAGATTTGACTGGGCAAATGCAACTTGCATTTCCCCATCGTCAATGCGACGCGCCCTTATTGCGTCATCCAATTAGACGAACCATCTCAAGAGGGAGTCCTCTTTGACTCCCCTTTACTTGGAGATGTCAATCTTCAAGGTCTCGGGTCGACGCGAGTGCATCGACCCACCAGCAGCAGCCTGCTGCTGTCTCAACAGTTCAAACTGTTGAGCACCCTGTTCTCTCAACAACTCTGCTTGTTGAGAACCTTGTTGGTGAAGCAAGGCTACTTTCTCGCGTTCAGCGTCAAGTTCATTTTGAATGAACTTGGCGATAGTAGCATGTTGGGCATCTCTATTGAGAGCCTCTAGCATGACGCTAACAGCATGGATGCCCATGGTCGAACCCATTCGTTCAACCGCATCCCATTCGACATCGCTCAAATGGGAGTAGCCGTCACGCATAGCGTGAAAGCTTTGGTCATCTTCATCATCCAACATATTCATGTTGGATGTGAACGCGATCCTTGGACGGACTACGAAGTGCTACCAGGTGTAACGGGGCACCCTGAAGCTTGTACTGGTGACAGTACAAGCTACTTATTCTGATGACAGAATAAGGCGGTGCCTCGGAACTTCACGTACACTCGTACGTGCAGAGGAAGACGGTAAGAAGAAGCGAGTACTTGGTTAAAGTAAAAAGTAGAACTGTATTTATAATAGTTAATGTCTGCAATAAATCACTATTTATCTTCATCTAACTATGTCTAAATACAAATGTGTAAATCAACTATCTGCTCACCACTCATTGCGTGCGTCTGTCGTGGCGAGTCTTCGTTGGTTGATATAATGGCCTATATCAACCAATTAGGAACTACTTGTAAGTGCTACAGAGTATTTGTCCTTATGACAATATTCTGAGAATATAACTCTTATAGTTATATTATATTAACAATTTCTTATAAATTGTTATGTAACGATTCACCCCGTTACAGTCTGTCCTGGTATGCAATCGCCGATACAGGCGATTGTATCAAGATTTACTTGATAGGCGATTGTATCAAGATTTACTTGATACCTTCGAAGGAGTGCTGACAATCAGCACTCGATGACCACCTCTCGTTTTTCTTTAGTCGACGAGAGAGATGTACGGTCATCTTGGCATAGTTGCGCGAGTACTTGTGCAAGTACGCCGCTAAGCCAAGGAACTTTCGAAGTCCCTTGACATCGACTGGCACAGACCAGTCGCTAATCGCCTGGATCTTTTCCGGATCAGGGCGTACACCGTTTTTACCCACGATGCAGCCAAGAAGTGGTATTTTGTTCGCTGCGAATTTTCACTCCTTGAGGTTCGCGAAGAAATTTTGCTCTCGCATTATTGCAAGAACCTTTCGGACGCGTATTCTATGAACCTCCACGTCCGTCTTTCCATCCATGGCCCGGCTATGGACGAAGACATCGTCGAAGTAACTCGGTGCGAAATCGCGCACCGATCGCAACAGATTCGTAACACGTCTGTTGAACGTTGCAGGGGCGTTACTTAGCCCCTGTGGCATCACTAGCCACTCCCAGAGCATACTACTGGGGAGGCTCACTGCTTTGTACGGAATGTCCCGTTCACGAATGAGGATCTGATAGATTCCATCCATCAGATCCATGGATGAAAAGATGGTACTCTTTGGCATACAATCTATGACGACATCCTTTCTTGGGATCGGCGTAGGAGCCGGTACCGTCGCAGCGTTCAATTTGTTGAACGCGTGAACTATCCGCCACCCTCCTGTGGACTTTCGCACACAGAAGTTCGGAGAGCTATGTGGGGAAGTTGATTCCCTCACATGACCAGCCGCTAAACGATCGGCAATGAATTTGTCGATCGCAAGTACTTGTTCACGACGCAGTGGCCACTGCTTCATGACACAGTACTTCGAACTGGTGTTCAGTTGAATCTCATGCCAAGTGCCTTTATCCTTAGGCAGCTCGCATGGCACGGATTCAGGGAAAACATCCCTGAATTCCACCAAATCCTTATGCAAAGGATTTGTCTTTAAAGACCTTCAAGATTGAGACGTGTATCGCTCAATCCGGGTCTTCTGATGGAGGACAATCTCATCCATCGATGAGCTACTGAGAACCCGTTCGATCTCAGTAAACACTTGTGCCGACCGAATATCGGCCACGTACTCGTCACAGAGGACGAGTACGCAGATCTGCTTGATCTTGTCACTGCGCAGATCTCGCAAGAATCTTTTAGATTCTTGCGTTGGCAACTTAATTATCTCCGAAGCTGACTTCGGAGGCGTAACCAGATCGAGTGTATGAGCGCCTACATTTGATCCGTCATTCACCAATACATTCACCGTCTCGGTGATTTCCTGGTAAAACACATCCGCAGATGGTTGGGGATCCACACCTTTAACATAACTCTCTTGGGAGTCATCACTCTCAGATCGTTTGAGCTTTCTTTCAATACGGTTACTGACTGTAGGTGTACTACCACATTTACTTCCACTTCGATCGAATTTCTTTCAGTCGATCGAGCTTGCTCTACGATCGACTTTCTGGTAGTCGATCTCGCTTCAACGTGTTGTTCATCCTGAACAACACTAATCTCTCTTCTCGGATGCACCCTTCTTGGCGTGCATCCGTGTTCCAGTCCACTCGATCTCTTCGAGTGGTGAACCTTCTGCGCAGCCTGTGTCTCTACACCGGAAGCTGGTTCCACAGTGCCGTGGCCTTCTACACTGTGATCTTGTGCAATCGTACTAACGACCGTACCAAAAGTGAGGCCATCGCACTCACTCGTAGTACGTCCACACGCTTGTGGACAATCCAAGATGTTCATCAGATGGCGATCCGATGAACAAACGGCAGGCATCTTCACGGATCGATGCTGCCAGCTGATCCATGTCTGGTATACTCTAAGCCATGGCAGACCGGGGATGACATCAAATTTGTCATCCAAATCAAGTACGAGTGAAGTCATCATCGTATTGTTTTCCTTCTAGCGTGTAGTGGATTCCCACTACACGTTTGTTCACTGTTACGGACGCGCCTGTAGCAAGGCACACCGTCATCCTCTTTGGAGGGAGCTCTCGCTCAACATAGTTGAGCCTACCATCCTCTAGCGACTGGAGTCGAATAAAACTGTTCGACGCCCCACAGTCAACTAGGGCGCGAAGTGACATTCCACTTGTCACTTCGATTTTCAAAGTGATGAGAGACTCCTCATCACTAGGGGCCGTAACACACAGCGACTGTGTGTTGGGAGCAATCTTCGTCAAGAGTCCTGCAAATTCTCTTGAAGTTGCAGGATCAGCAGGGTGCTCCGCCCCTACTGACCCTGACCGTTTTTTTTACGGTCCGACTTGCTGTCGCGGCTTAGCGACATGGTTGGACTCGCGGCTTGGACTTTTCCTCGGCCAACGGCGGTCATCATGTCCTGTCTTTGGACTTGATGCGGTGCTTGGGATACTCCACTCATGCGCGTAGTGCCCAATCTTCTGACAGCGATGGCATCTTGCCGTTCGCTTGTGACTCAGAGAGCCAGAGTTCTCGCTCTCGATGTAACAGAGGTCCATTGGTTCGGGACCTCCTGTTTCCTGTCGTCTCGTCGGACGATATCTTGACGAGTTAGCCTGAGACTGTCTCAGGCTGAAGTCTTCTTGTTCCGCACACGCTATCGCCTTTTCTAGCGTATGGAAGTCCTCTCGGAACATGTAGGTCTTCACCGGTCCATCTATAAGAGCTTAGATGAACACGTTGATGAGCGTGTGCTCATCAACATGGTTTTTCTGTAACGCTACTCGCAAGGTAGCGTAGCTGTTTTGCGTAAGCGTGCACAACACGCTTACCTTGCTTTAGCCTCAAGAGTGCAGAGCGTGCTCTGGACTCGGCTCTTGGTGGCTCAAACGTCTCTTTGAGCCCAGACTTCAATACCTCCAACGACTAAACACGTTTGGGTCGTAAAGCTTGATCCCTAAGACCCAAATCTTTGCTCGTCCTGTCAGATTTACAGGGAAAAGGTGACTTGCATCTCGTCACCCTTGATGGACGACGGGCCCTGATGGCGTCGTCTAACTCGATGAACCATCTCAAAAGGGAATCTTCATCGGTTCCCTTGTACCTTGGGATATCAATCTTCAAGTTTTCGGGTAGACGCATGTGCATCGGCCTGCCCATCGACTGAGAGAGCCTCGCTGTTGTGTCAAGGCTATCTTCTGTAATTTGATGGCAAGTTCCCCTTGTAGGAACTTGTTGATAGCAGCATGTTGCTGGTTTCTGCTCAGAGGCTCCAACATACGCGGGATCGCCCATGAGCACACTCATGTGGCCGACTACCTCCCATTCTGAGTCACTCAGATGGAAGTAGCCTTTACGTGTGACGTGAAAGCCGTCGTCTTCTAAGTCTAACATGTTCATGTTGGACGGACACTAAGTAGTCTTTGTACGGACTACAAAGTGCTACCAGGTGTAACGGGGCTTTGTTTGGGGTGCCACGAAAGTTCGCGTACACTAGTACGTGCAGAGGAAGCTAATATACTTAAACGACCCGGTCAAGTAAAGTTAAAAAGAGAACCGTATTGAATATAGTGAAGCTATCAATGCAACTTCAGTCTTTATCTAACCATATTAATCTACGTCGTCGTATGACGACAACCTGCTCACTACTCATTGCGCGCGTCTAGCAGCGATTAGTGGCAATCTATGGTCAATGTGTCTTATATCAACCATCCTTGGAGCAGCGCATGAATATTATTCTACAAGAGGTTAATATTTCTTCAATATTATCTGTCTCGGATAAAATTGGTAGGGAATTGTCACGCTAGACAATCTCCCTATTGACACCGTTTGTTGTCAATATCATGTAACGGGCTACCCCTGGACACGACACGTCCCTGCGAGCACGTTAATGAGTGTAATTTAAGGTACAACGCGGGTCTAGAAGAATTAGAATGGACACATGTGCGAGAGCGTAAGTCCCCGCTTTACGGCCAAAGATTCGTTGTCAACAGACATGCGAGATTTTGCAAAAATACCGCCGGAACAACGGCTCACGGCCAGTGATAACGAGCGGCTCTTGAAGCCGTTCAAGGAAGCTGAGGTGCTTTCTGCTATTTACGTTCGTTAGCGACACAAAGTGGCCGGTCAAGATGGTCTCAAAAATATTTAATTTTACGAGGATACTGCAACGTTAATGGTTCCAGCACTGGTCATACTTAGCAAATACATTCTTCAAGGCGGTGATTTTTCTCCCTCACATCGAGCAGCCCTCATTATTCCGTCCATACAAAACGAGAATCGGATGAGGCCATGTAGTATCGGCCAATATCCTTGGTTCAAATGAGTTGCAAAGTGTTTGCCAAGGTGCTGGCCACGAGGGTGCAAACAGTATTACACCAGGCAATCAGCGACTCACAACAAGGTTTTGTTCACGGTCGCAGGATGACAAAGAGGTCATGATAATAATCGACCGACTTGCAACTGCGATAGGTACAGGTGATGTGAAAGCGGAGGACAGCAGATGTATACTATTTTAGAGTTTTCGGACGGCTTACGACATCGTTAGCCGTGATTTCATTACGAGACACTACGTAGTTTTAAGTTCGATGCTCATTTGGTTATTTAAGTATCCGAACAGCGCTACAGCCAGATTATCCGTGTACAGCTCATAATCTTGGGCTCTTCCAGTAATTTTGGGTAATCGCCAAGGCTGTCCGCTCGCGCCTCTCCTATTTCTGCTTGTCGTGCAGGAGTTAGGGCTGGCGCTTAAGCTACAGTCTGTCCTTTGATGATTGCAAATGCCAGAACTTTCTGAGAAAACGCACCTGTTCTCGGTATTTGTTGACGGCCACATGCTTATCTTGGAGACGTCAGGTCAGATCAAGCACGCTCTACGTATCACTTAAGCTTTTGGTGCTTTTTCAGGCCCGCATTTTCAACCGGACCAGAACAGCTAATTTTTGAACCGGCATGTTTTATTAAACTCTAACAGGACATTGTGTTTTTCAAACCTGCATCAAACTAGGCATTTGGGTTATAAAGTTGTAACAGGCAACTTTTTGAACAAGAACTAGGCTTTCAGGATACAAAAGATTCAGCGACGCCTGACTACAGCGACTCGAGTGACGACTTGTGTGGTAAAACGAGTCCTTTTGCTTAACTTTGTAGTTCTTCTCTCCTTAAAATTAACTGCGATTGTCTTTGATATCCCTGTTGGGCGGAGAAGAAATCGCAATGCTAATCCAAGATGTTCCTGTGGGCACATATCCGATCTGCAGTTTTCAGTTTGCCTTAAAGTCAATTCGGGATTGTTGGTACAGCCTAAGAAAGCGGGAAAGATTCTTTTTAGCATACATTGCTGTCGCAGTTAAAAAACATCGAAAAAATCATGCTATAACTTGGCTCACTCACATACATGATTAAGTATAATAATGCCTGGCACATATGGGCATTGCGCGGATGTTCACGAGGATCTGCCAGTCCGAGATATCTCCTGCTCAGTTTTTTACGGGCACCACCACGTCGTAGACGATTACAAGATGAAGACTTAATGTAGCAACTAGGTGAATGGATCTCCTACAAACTAAATCAGTTGGACCGAGTGACGTCATGGGTAGCAATTTATATGGTGGATCTACTTGAACGGGCAGCAAGC